ATGGGAAGATAAGACATCCCCTGAAAATAAGACCTAGCGCAACTTTGGGAGAAAAAATTAATATAAGACACTGTCTTATTTTCGGGGAAACAGTATCATTTGAAGTATATACAATTTGGAGGACCTTCTTGAAAAATGAGAACCTGATGCAATGAGACACTGGAGCTAGGGCTTTATTAACTTCACAGTTAATGTTTCTGACCCCCCTTCCCAAATTAGCTATGGTAAAGGAGCAAATGTGGCTTTGGGGAACCCACTTATACTTGTGTACTGGGACACTTTCCAGACAATGAAGAATCATTGTGAGTTTTCTCCACCTCCCACCAGAAGTGTCCAGTGTTCAGTTCAATATAATCTGATCACCTGAATGTCTAGAATCCAGGTCTCCTGACACCTAACCAAGTGAATTTTCAAATACACCATATTCCACAGTGCTATAAATTCTTTATTTTTTTAAAATATATTTTATTGATTTTACAGAAAGGAAGAGAGAGGGATAGAGTTAGAAACATCCATGAGAGAGAATCATCAATCAGCTGCCTCTTGCACACCCTACTGGGGATGTGCCCGCAACCAAGGTACATGCCCTTGACCGGAATCGAACCTGGGACCTTTCAGTCCATAGGCCGACGCTCTATCCACCGGTTTCAGAATTTTTTTAAAACCTTACTTTGTCCTCTCCATACCTTTTCCCTCTGGTTGCTCCTTAAATGTTGATGGCCTTCAAGGTTCTTCTCATTCTATCCTATCTTCAGGTGGCCTCTTACACATTATTCGGTCCACGGCCATAATCATATAACTTCTAATCCTCTACCCAGGCTTCTGTAATTCCAAACATGTACTAGCCCTTTTTAGTTGGATATCCCACAGGAATGTCAACCTGTGTGGCGAAAACTTAATTCCTACTGTGACGACAGGCATCAGATAGTCATTTTCAATTACAATGAGCATTTACTATATGCCAGGCAGTGGGTATACAGTAGTAAAGAACACGACAAGATTCTTATGCTTCAAACAGATATTAAATAAATGAAGTCATTAGAGATTGTGATAAGTGCTACAACAAGAGAGAGTAATGAGAAAGAGTATCCTGGGAGGCCTCTTGCAGGAGAAAGATCAGGGAAGACTCTTCTGCAAAGGTAACTTTACACTTTCATTTGAAGGAGAAATAAAGTCAATCATGCAAAGAGGTGTGGGAAGAGCATTGTAAGCAGAAATTCCAAAAATAGGAAAAACCTTAGTAGCCTGAGAGGGCCAGTAGCAATGAGGTTAATGAGAGACAATGGCACATGGAGGCTGGTGGAAGGTAGGAATCAGTCTATCAAGGGCCTTGCAGGCCACAGTAAGGAATTGGATTTTACTATTAAACAAACAAACAAAACAAAAACAATAAGACATCCTCCGAATGGGGCGTGGGAAGAGATCAACCAAAGTGTCATATGCATATATGCATAATCCATGGGCACAGACAATAAGGTGGTGAAAGCCTAGGGCAAGGGGGAGGCTGGGAAGGGTGAATGGGGGAAAAGGGGTGATATATGTAATACTTTTAGCAATAAAGACTTAGAAACAAAAAAAAAAATAAAAACAAGAAGATGCCCTAGTCAGTTTGGCTCAGTGGATAGAGTATCAGTCGGCCTGGGAGGACTGAAGGTCGAGGGCATGTGTAATTGGGGTTGCAGGCTCAATCACTACCCCCACCCTGCCAGGGTGTATGTGGGAGGCAATCAATGTGTCTCTCTCACGCTGATGTTTGTCTCTCCACCTCCACTCTCTCTAAAAATCAATGAAAAAATATCCTTGTGTGAGGATTAACAAACAAACCAAGAAGACACTAAAGAGATTTCTGGGAAGAAGGGGAATCGAGATCAGATTTAGATTTTTTTTTTTTAATTTTTAATTGATTTTTTACAGAGAGAGTAAGGAAGAGGAATAGAGAGTTAGAAACGTCGATGAGAGAGAAACATCGATCAGCTGCCTCCTATACCCCTGCACCCCACTGAGGATGTGCCTAAACCAAGGTACAAGCCCTTGATTGGAATTGAACCTGGGACCTTTCAGTCCACAGGCCAAGGCTCTATCCACTGAGCCAAACTGTCAGGGCTACATTTTTTTTTTTTTTTTTTGAATGTTTAGCCTGCCCAGCATAACTCAATGGTTGAGCATCGACTCAACCAACAGGTCACGGTTCGACTCCTGGGCAGGGCACATGCCCCAGTTGTGGGTTCGAATCCCAATGTGGGGCATGCAGGAGGCAGCCGATCAACAATTCTCTCTCATCATTGATGTTTCTATCTCTCCCTTCCTCTCTGACATCAATAAAAACATATTTAATTAACATATATATATTAATCTTCACCCAAGAATATATTTCCATTGATTTTTAAAGAGTAAAAGAGAGAGGGAAAGGCAGATGAGCCTTTCAGTGAGCACCCTGACCAGGGCCCGGGCCTGGAGGAACCTGCAACCAAGGCATGCGCCCTTGACGGGGAACTGAACCCAGGATCCTTTGGTCTACAGGCTGACGCTTTATCCACGGAGTCAAACCAGCCGGGCTAAAAATATATGTATTTTTAATGCTTTTATTGCTTTTTAGAGGAATAGAGAGACAGACACACCGATTTGATTGGCTGCCTCCTACAGGCATCCACACTAAGGATTGCACCTGAAATCCAGGGACAAGCCCAGACAAGGAATGGAAAAGGTGACTCTTGGTTTCTGGGTTGACACTCAACGGCTGGGTCACACCAGCCAGGCCGATTTACATTTTTACATAAGCAAACTGTGCAGTGAATGGACTGTGAAGCTGGAGGATATCATAGTAGAAGAGTCGGCCTGTGGACTGAAGGGTCCCAGGTTCGGTTCCGGTCAAGGGCATGTACCTTGGTTGCGGGCACGTCCCCAGTGGGCAACTGATAGATGATTCTCTCTCATTGATGTTTCTAACTCTCTATCCCTCTCTCTTCCTATCTGTAAAAAAATCAATAAAATATATTAAAAAATAATTTAAAAAATAATTAAAAAAATAATATATACAAATGTATATATAACAAATACATTTGTATATATTAACTAGACTGAGTACAGATTATTAACAAATACAGCAAAAACCAGACTAGTGTTTGACTAAAAACTAGGTACCATGGACTAGCCAAGATGAAACAAAAAATTAACCATCACAGCCATTAAATTCTGTGTATCTTTTTTATTTTTTTAAAAAAATATATTTCATTGATTTTTACAGAGAGGAAGGGAGAGAGATAGAGAGCTAGAAACGTCGATGAGAGAGAAACATCGACCAGCTGCCTCTTGCACACCCCCTTTTGGGGATGTGCCCGCAACCAAGGTACATGCCCTTGACCAGAATTGAGCCCCTGACTCTTGAGTCCACAGGCTGATGCTCTATCCACTGAACCAAACCAGTTTCGGCTGCCTCACTCATTTTAATGTGCAGAATCATCTGAGGATCTTATTAAAAGGCAGATTCTGAATAATGCATTAGGTCTGGGACGGCTTGAGATTCTGCATTTCTAACAAGCTCCCCAGGGGTTGCTGCGGGATTAGGAACAAACTTTGAGTAATTGGATTGTAGAGTATCTCTTGAAAGAGATCACCACCTTTATAACATGTGTATTTGTATACTCTCTGAAAAGGCACACAAGAAATGGGAAACAATAGTTACCACTCGAAAGAACAGAATGGTTGATAATTGCAATTCCCTTTTATAACCAAGGCTGTGTGCTACATATTGAAAAATAAATTAAAACAGCAAAAAACAAACAAACAAAAACACTCCAACTGTTCACTTTCAAAAACACTGCAGTGGAGCCCAGTGACCCACAGGTCAGAATGCAGCGCGGCCTGTCCGCAGCCCCTTACGATGAACAGCTTACCTATGGAGTCCATGCCCAATCTCACCCTCAGCCAGGCCACGCACCGCTTGTGTTCTTTCCTCTCGAAATGCACTTGAGCGCATTTCACTTGGTCTTTCAAACTCCAGTGTCCATTGAGCTAATCTCACGCATCCTCCCACTCCCCCTCCCTCCCACGGTTAATGTTACCTTTTCATATTAACCTCACAATGCTGCTTTTTGTCTCAGTCATCACGCTGAGTCAAATTTATTTACGTGTCTATCTTAGCCACTTGACGGTGCGGATCTCGAGGACACGGCAGGAGTCGATGCCTCGCGCAGACCGAGTTCCTAGGTTCTCCTGCGAGAGGAGGAGTCCCGTGCCGGCCTCCAGCGGCTCGCGGGCAGGGGAGATCCTCGAGCTCCGGTCTTCTCTTCCATCCCTTCGTGACCATCGCGGGGCAGACGTGCCAGGAGCGGAGTCCGAGCGCCCCGGCGGGGAGGCGGCCGGGGACCCGCCTCTGCGCTCGCTCCTTCCCGGGCGCCGGGCACGCGGCGTCCAGACCCCGGGCCCCGGGCCCCGCGCCCAGCGCGCCGCTGCGCCCTCCGCGGGCTGGGTTGGCCCGTCCACCGTCCCCGGCCCCACAGGCGGACATGGCGGTTCGAGCCCGGTTCCGAGCGTGGGGGAAAGAAGGAGGTCTCCTGGTATCCGCCACCTGCCACCGGCGGCGACCAAAGGGAACGACCGGTCGGGATGGGGTGGCAGAGTGGCAAGGGCCAGCGAGGGCCGGGCCAGAGGCCGCCCAGCTAACTTCCCGGCACTCACGCTTCCTCCACGGGGCGCAGGCCGGCGTGGCGGTCCCCACGCCGCTCCCTCCCTCTCCCCGCGTCGGTGGGCGCTGACCGCTCCGCCACACCCTCCCGGGCTCCCGGCGGCCCCGCCGGCCGCGTCCCGCGCCGCCTTCCCGCCCGCCCGCGCGCCCGCCGCCGCCGCCGCCGCCAGAGGGGGCGGGGCCTGGGCGCGGGCGTCCAGTCAGCCACGGTCCCGGCGTGCCCCGCGCGGGCCAACGAGAGCGAATCCGGTGACTCACCGGCGCCGCGCCGCCCCGCGCTGGCGCTCCCCTCACACACGCTCACTCCCGGCTCGACATGGCGGCGGCGGCGGCGGCGGCGGGGGACTCGGACTCCTGGGGTGAGGGGAAGTTCCGGGGGCAGGGCGCGGCCCGTCGCCCAGGCCGGCACTAACGCGGCTCGCTCTCTCCCGCAGACGCGGACACGTTCTCCGTGGAAGACCCGGTGCGGAAGGTGGGGGCCGGCGGCACCGCCGCCGGGGACCGCTGGGAAGGCGAGGACGAGGACGAGGACGTCAAGGTGGGTGCGGGCCGGGGCTGCGGGCGGCGCCGTCGCGGGCGGAGTTGCCCACCGCCGGGCGGGCGGGCGAGCGGACGGGCTCCGGGGCCCAGGGGCGCCGCCCGGGCCTGCGAGCCCCGGGGCGGGCGCGAGCTCAGGCCCCGGCGGGGCGGGCGGCGTGGCCTTTCGGACTTCCCCGGCGGGGCGGCGGCGGCCCTGCCCCAGCCCCGGCCCGGGCCCCAGCCTTTGTGGGTCCGCGCCCGGGTCTGCATCCTACCCGCCCACAGGCGACGGGAGGTGACAGCAGCGGCGGGGCGGCCCACGTGCGGACTTGGCGGCCCGGAGCCTCGCGCCCCGATGGGGCTGCCAGCGTGGGGACGCAGCCCCGCCGCTTACCTCCATATGGAAAAGCTTGCAGCTCCCCTGCCTTTCCGAGCTCCTGTCTCCCCAGAGCCAGCAATCCATGTATGTCCCCGCAGGCCTAGTTGTAGAGTTTGTGCAATTAGACAAGGAAAACGTTGTGGCTTAATTTTAACTTTTCTCATGTAAGGCGAAATAACTTTCAGCCTCTCTGCCCACACCCTGTGGCCAAAGGATGAACGGAGGGACTGAAATCGCCCACAGTTACTGCTCAGACCCTGGGTAGGGAGCCACAGTGACCTGAGAGCTGTGAAGTTGACAGAGTGACATTCATCCTAACACGAGGGATGGGAGCCTTGGTGCCTGGGCCAGAGGGGGGGCCCGTGCGTCCCTGTAGATGTGACCCAGACTTAGCTTCATGGTTCGTGTTTGAAAACTCCTGGGGGCTTTCTATGGCTTCAGGAACATTATGACTATGGCATTTTTTTAAAGGCAGCTTCAGAAGTCTCAAGCCCATCATGTTAAGACTCTTTATTAATAAAGTTATCACATTTTTAAAGATATTTGTGCAGATAGTTTTTTTATAAATTGGAAAGTGATATTTCGTGATTTGGGTTCATTTAGTGAATATTTTACTCCCAACTTTTCTACTCTTTGGCTTAATTTCACTTAATTCTACAAGTCCTTCTGCTTGGGTTGAAAAATTTTGAGCTGTGGATAATTACTATTAATACTTGGTACTGCTTTCTCCTGAGTCTGATGAGGTGAATGTACAATTTCTTGAACAACCTGAGGTTCAGAAATGATAGGAGCTTTTCACACCTTGGGGTTAATAAAGGAGTAGTGTTGTGAGGGTACTTAGACATGGGAATGGGTTATGTTAACCCCTTCATTGTAAGATATGTTACTTCCCTACATTGTAGAAGAGATGTCCTGTTTGGAGCTTTTAGTTCAGATTTGCCCTTTTAATTTTTCTGTGTATACTGTCAATGAAAATTGGAAATAAATTATCAAATGAGAAGAAAAGATGAGAGGAATCTGGACAAAAGTACCAGAAAATGAGGTTTGAGTGGAGTAATGTGGGCTGATGTCATGAAGTAAAGTGCCTGAGATTATTTGATCTATGGTATTAATCCTGATAAATATAATTTTGACCACTTGGAATTAATTTTGGAAATTTACAAGTTTCAAGGACTATAAAAGTCATTTTGCCAATTCACTCTTTCAGTGCAGAATGTCTTTCTCTTATACAAATAGCTTATTTATTTTACATAAACTTTGAAGTTGATCTTGGAGAAGAAAGCTGAACTTGTCTGTTTTATTTCCAAGTTTAAATGTTGGTTTATTTCTGTTGAATTTTTTTATATATATATTTTATTGATTTTTTACAGAAAGGAAGGGAGATAGAGAGCTAGAAACGATGAGAGAGAAACATCGACCAGCTGCCTCCTGCACACCCCCTACTGGGGATTTGCCTGTAACCAATGTACGTGCCCTTGACTGGAATCGAACCTGGGACCTTTCAGTCCGAAGACCGAAGCTCTACCACTGAGCCAAACCGGTTTCGGCTGTTGAATTTCTTTAAGATTCTCATGATAATGATATCCACAGAATAGTTTGATTCCTGGACTCCAAAATCGACAGACCTTAGTTGATATGATGCCTTGACATTTTTTATATTTATGGTCATAAGCAAGTTTTTATTCTTTTAGTTTTCAATCTGTAACTTGTCATTAAGGGAGCTACCTCAGGGGGTTAATTTACATTTTAAATGAGATAGCAGAGAAAGCATTAAGCAGAATTGCCTGATACATGATAGGCACTCAGTAAATGTAAATTTCTCTTACTTTTTCTGACTAATGGAATGTATGCTTAGGCTGTTTAGGTCTAGTATTGGGGTTTATTTTGTGCCACATTTTTTTATTTCCTAAGTTCAGAAGGAGTAAATTCTCACCATAATGGCAGTTTATGTGAATTTTATGGTGGTGGTTTTTTTGTGTGTGTTTTTAGGACACAAAGTTTTCTTTAATTATTCTTTGGGGAAAGGGATGCCACACTTCTACCAATTAAGAGAAACATTTTTATCAGCATAGAAGTCGTCTTTATTGCTTCTGCTTATCATGCCATGAGTTCATAGGGAATGAGTTCCAGCAGCTCAGGCTCCTTTCCATTGGCTCTCACAGAGTGCTTCTCTGGGTGGAGCAGCCTGATGCTTCTGTTGAACCCGGGTACCTTTCTCTTTGGCTTCCTTCTTTTTCTGATAATTTTCCTTCACATGTTTCAGGAAGCTGTCTTGGCTCTTACAGTGCCTAATGTGCTCAATACGTACATTGATTCACTTGGCAAGACTCCTGCCCTTAACTTGCTTGTTCACAATAATCCCAATTGCATGTTGAGTGACACTGTAGACTCTTCCAGTTTTGCCATGGTAACATTTGTGGGGCACTCCTTTTTGAATAAAACCTATTCCCTTGATGTCTACAATCTCACCTTTCTTGTAGATTCACATATATGTGGCCAAAGGAACAACTCCATGTTCCCTAAAAGACCTAGAGAACATATAGCTGGTCCTCTCTTCTTTTTGTGTTAGTCACTTTGGCAATTACTGGAAGATGGCTGTTCCAGCCGAAAGGCTGAATTTTATGTTTTGAATGGAATGACAAAGTTTATCAAGCAAGTTTTTGCTTGCTTAAATGTTGCCAATCAAAAGTTGAATTTTGTCTCCTTGGATGGTAGTAATACCAAATATCTGAATTTTTTTTTTAATTGATTTTGTACAGAGTGAAGGGAGAGATGGAGAGTTAGAAACATCGATGAGAGAGAGTCATCCATCAGCTGCCTCTTGCACACCCCCTACTGGGGATGTGCCCACAACCAAGGTACATGCCCTTGACCGGAATCGAACCCGGGACCCTTCAGTCCCCAAGCCTACGCTCTATCCATTGAGCCAAACCGGTCTCGGCCAAATATCTGAATTTTAATGTTATAGTACCTAATCCTTTCCTAAGGAGATGCAAACAAGGCTTTGTATCAATGAGTTTGAGTAATCATAGTCTCTAATACAATATGTGAATTTTTAAAAATGTTTTTATTGATTTCAGAGAGGGGGGAGGAGAGAGAGAGAGATTGAAAAACATTGCCGCCTCCTGCATGCCCCCAACTAGTGATTGAGTCTGAAACCTGGGCATGTGCCCTGACTGGGAATCGAACCATGACCTCCTGGTTCATAGGTCATCCCTTAACCATTGAGCAACACCAGCCAATATGTGAATTTTTTTGTCTTCAGAAGATAATGTGGAAACAGTTAATTTTCAGTTTATATCAGTATCTAGTGTTTAACATTTAAGAACATAGATTTAGACTGGCCTCGCATCCCAGCAGCCGATGACCTGCCGTGTCTCCTGCCAAGACCTCACCAAAATGCTGTCTCAAATGGAACACGCCATGAAAGCTATGATGTTCACGTTTCATAAGTTTGCTGGGGATAAAGACTACTTAACAAAGACGGACCTAAGAGTTCTCATGGAAAAGGATTTCCCTGGATTTTGGAAAATAAAAAAAAACCCTCTGGCTGTAGACAAAGTAATGAAGAACTTGGACCAGTGCCCAGACGGCAGAGTGGTCTTCCAGAGCTGCTTTTCGCTAATTCCTGGGCTCACCATCACATGCAGTGACCATTTCATAGTACACATTAAACAAGGGAAGGAAGTGAGCAGTTACTTCACCCTGATAAGAGTCCTCCCAATGGAATATGTGCCCCACAGCTCCCCTCTATAAGAATTTCATGAGCAGATTGGAACTCTTAAAAAAATGTACAAATAAAATCTGACAACATTGAGCAAGAGGAAGAAAAACCAATAAAGCCAGATAAGCTTTTGATTTTTATGTTGCTTGTATCCTCTTGCCCCCAAATAAACAAGTTTCTTTAAAAAAAAAAAAAGAAAGAAAATAATATAAATATAATATCATTTGTAATGCCCTGAAAAATGAAAGGAAAACTGAGGTTTTTGTTACAGTAATTTACTCCAGTAGCTTACTATCTTTTAGTAGACATTATAGCATTTTGCTGTGCTTGACTTTTAAAATAGCTGTCTGATAATGGCAGATGTGGTTTAGGTAAAACAATAGAATTGTTAATTCATGGAGGGAAAGCCTTATGCTTCTTCCACTTGAAAAGGTTAAAACCAGGGAGCATACTTTCCTGTTAACACTGGCTTTGTTTTACTTTTCTTGCTATACTGATGATACAAGGAGGCTGTGGGAGGAATTGTTCATTTGGTACATATTGCTGGACTCTTTCCCCGTTGCTGGAATGATGTGTAGGTTTTGTTGACAAGAAGGCAGTGAAGAAGCCGGGACAGTACAACTTGACTAGTCTCCCAGCATTTTAGTAGAACCGAGTCCAAGCTAGATTTATTCAAAGAGTGTACAGTTTGTTTTGAGAAAACTGCTTCTGGTTGTGTTCAGTGTCTCAGGCATTTGCTTCTATAACCTTATTATAGAATTTCTCATAAAGATCCTAGAATTGAAAACTGCCTGCATCATCCTACCCATTGAACCATGTTAGGATCCTTTGTGGGTTAATAGCTTAAATCTGTCACAGTAAGGACATTTTTCAAGCTTTGGAAATAGCACTTTTGAAGCAGGGCATCTGTTTAAAG